ATATTTTAATTGTCCTATATTATAGTGTAATGTAGGCTAAAATATACTTTTGAAATATTAATTTTCATTTATATAGTACATTTATAGGCTAAATGGATTTAACGTCATAGGAATAATTATATAAATCATTATTACATTATTATAATAATTGTTTGGCATCCTAAAACATCATTGATAATGTAATGCAGACGGAGACTCTCATAACTAAAAAGATGCCCTCTTTATTGTCCTGGTACAAATTAATGCTTTTTCTTTGTTCAACGAGCAGTTCATGGGTTGAAGCTCTTAATTTTGATCTCTTCAAAGAGCACAAGATTGATGCATTTAACCTTAAAATGTAAAACATTTTCTTGCGGGGGAGCATGCCCCCGAACCCCCCTAGAGGCACAGAGGTCCACCCAACATAGTTTTACAAATTCCTATGGGAAAGAACGACCATTTATGAACTTTACTCCAGCATAGTACAACAAAGTTACTTTTAAATCAGTAAAACTGTAAATGCCATATTAAAATGTCCCTGGACAAAATATACATTTGGCCTGCCTAAGAGGGGACCTACAAGACATTGTGCCCAGGGGCCTCTTAATCTGGCCCTGCCGGCGACGAGGGCCGGTGGTCTACGAAATTTCCCGGTAGATTTTTTGGTCCCACTCCGCCCCTGCTGTAACCTATATCAGACAAGGTATTCACAGCAAGTAATATCTCAAAAACAATGATGACAATTGGGGTTTTGTTTATTAATGAAGCCTCAGTCTTCAAATAAAAACAAAAAAATGTACAATGCCATTACATCTGCATTGAAAATAAAACACAAATAATGAAATGTCACTGGCTACAGAAACCCTAATTACACAAACTTGTAATTATAAAACATTTAGTTACTATATACCAGGGGTCTCCAACCTTTTTGTGTGTGAGGGCTACCTCAAGGGATAAAATAATCTAGAAGGGCTATACTCAAAAATATGTATTATACATATAACATGGTGGTGTTTTTTACCTTACCTTTACCTTTACTTTTAACTTTAACTTTTTTATTTTTCACCATCATATGCGAAATAATAAAATATCTTGATATTCTGGTTCAACAATTGGTGAAAAATTCGTTATATATATATTATTCTCTAAAAACCTATTGTAGCATAAACATTTAGTATAAATATTTAATGCAAAATAAATAAATAAACTGCCATAACTTCTAAACAAAAACATTACTGCATTACATTTAATAGCCTACATTTATAGGCCTACATGACTATTAATATGACAGCATTTTTAATATGAATACAGGCACATTTCTGCCAAAAAAGTTTGTTTTACTAAGTTACAGTTAATTTATAAGTTGTGGAGTGAAATGTCTTCTAACTGGTTTGTTCTTGGAACAATGTTTCGCCTGTTTTTTTGCGTCAAGATGTTGAGAATATCAGCGCTGTTTAATCTGGCTTTTAACTAGCTTAAATCACAGCCATCTGTGGGTTTATAATAGAGATAGAGAATTCTGCACTGAATTGAAATGCTTCTCAGTGGATCGCGCAACTCTGTGTAATAATGTTCGCGTGATCAAGATCAGTCCGCACAGCTGCTTCGGCCGCGATCGCAGTTTTTTTGGGCCGAGCTGATAATGCTCCGCGCTGGCATCCAACTTAAAGGTGCATTGCTGCCACCTACAGTACTGGAGTGTGAAACAGATTAGTGGGGGGAAAAAACAGGTTATGACGGCGTGTGTGGCGGGTGGTGGGCCGGCCCGCCGGCCGTCCTGGAGTACCGGCCGTTCTGTGATACTCCAGATCACACAGATGGCCAGTCCGCCCCTGATAACATGTACAATTGAATGTACTTTAACAGAGCCCTATATTCCGAATAAGCGTTAAGATGATCCAGTACAGGTTGCCTATTTGCCAGGTGTCTTGTGGATTTATAAGGTGAATGCATTTTAACAAACAGTAGCGGCACCTGGGTCTTAGCGCTAGTTTATGATCAACATTTTGTAAGCTTTATATTTTAATCGCTGAAATCAGACACACTTTTGGCAGAATTCTAATGTCCTTGCGGTATTCAGCCTGAGGGTGGCGCTCTAATGATGATTGACAGACTTTCATGATTGACAGGCTGTGGTAGATACCATCGCTTCCGCTAGAGCCCCCTCTACGAGGCGCCTCTATGCGTTGAAATGGAACCTGTTCGTCGTTTGGTGTTCTTCCCGCCGGGAAGACCCCCGAACTTGCCCGATCAGTGTCGTGCTTTCCTTTTTACAAGACGGGTTGGAGAGAAGGCTGTCTCCCTCCACCCTCAAAGTATATGTGGCCGCAATAGCTGCCCATCATGATGTGATCGACGGGAAGTCATTAGGGAAGCACGACCTGATCATCAGATTCCTTAACCCAATAAACGTACTGAACAGCTATAACCATTTCAGAAAAAATATAAGCTTTGCAGTCTCTGTTTTAATGGGCCTAAATGGTGACACACTTCCTCTTTTGTGAATAAACAGAAAATGGTTTCTTGCCAGGGATTTTTTTTAAAGCTTATCTTAGTTAAACACTAGCTTTCCGTAAAAGGACGGGTCCAGTTCTTCCAAGGAAAATGTTCCTGGAATTCTCCCCTTTATCTAAAAAATAAACTAAACACCAGGATGATAAATCATACATCATTACTAATGTCTAAGAAAAGCACTGAATATTCAGAGTAGTGGTAAACCGATTTCTCAGTAGTCTGCGGTCCTCCTTCCCAATCCTGATTATGTGGTAAAAGAGTTGAATAAGTTCATACATCTTTGAATAACAGTTTGTCAAATTAAGGTCAAGTTAACGCTCAGAATTTTCTGATTTATACTGCAGCAAGTGTGGGCTTGTGCTAACAATGTATACAAGATTAGGTGACAAGATTAATTGTAGCTCCAACGTTATTGTTCGTGGATCCATGTTGTCAGGAATGTGGCATGCAGATCATCGATACGCATCCATGCTATTCATCCATCTTTCTCACAGTTATAAACTCGGATACTTCTAGGGAATTGTTTACAATAAAAAGAAGTAGAAAAGGACCACCTGGCCTGCATCATTATCCATTATCAGGGCTTGAATCAGGTGTTACTTGATATACGTGTGCACAAAATGTGAGATTAGGTTCACTGTATAGGCTAATGATTGAAAACAAAGCAAAAAAAAACATTTAATGCCACATTGAATTGTAGACGTGAAGATGTGTCACCATGTTATGCACCAACTATATTAGGCTACTATAACAAATAAAACAATTCGGTCAAAATGACTGAAATCAGACAAAATGATTCAATACTCTAGGCTAAATTATGTCCTAGAAGGGGATAAGCTTAAAATGTTATCTCTAATGTTATTGATGTTATACTAAATATCATCTTTTAATTATGTTTATCAGCACTTTGCCTTATTACCTTAAAAGACCTGTATGGTGTGAGACTGTTTGTTACAGTTTGCAACCTATATCCTAAAATATATTTATATTGATTTAGGTTAAGAAGGTACAATGGAACGTATTAACATTGGATATTTTGAATCATATATCATAGATTATTAGATGATTTCTAACAAAAGACACAAAGGTGGCATCAAGAGGCAGATTATACTGTGGCGCCTGCAGGGCGGTGCAGCACTGCCACCTAGTGTTGATACAGCGAAACAGCACTGCATTTAATTAATAATTAGAAATCAATGCGTTTTTTTGTTACATAAATCTAATTAGTTACAATAGCTATAACTAATCCATATCATACGATGATTCCTGTCTACTGAGACCTAAAAAGAATGCACCAATTAATTATTGTGGATTAATCTGCGAAACATAGCCTACTATTCAGATTGGTGCAAAGTCTTATTTATTCTATTTTCCATCTTTTTTTCCTCTTGCTATGACTCAATATGTGCCAACATCGTCAGATAAAAAAGGTGTATACTATTTATTATAAATATTTCTTAGTTTAAAAACAAAATCACAAATATATCATTAAAGTAATGAAGAATTGAGAGGTGAATAACATGTACAATTGAATGTCCTTTAACAGAGCCCTATATTCCGAATAAGCGTTAAGATGATCCAGTACAGGTTGCCTATTTGCCAGGTGTCTTGTGGATTTATAAGGTGAATGCATTTAACAAACAGTAGCGGCACCTGGGTCTTAGCGCTAGTTTATGATCAACATTTTGTAAGCTTTATATTTTAATCGCTGAAATCAGACACACTTTTGGCAGAATTCTAATGTCCTTGCGTTATTCAGCCTGAGGGTGGCGCTCTAATGATGATTGACAGACTTTAGTAGGCTACATTCAACAAAGAATAGCCTAGTAGGCTATATTTATTGCCTATTTATTTTAGAATATTGCAAGTTTGTCTAGGAATTCCAGTGAGCAAAGGCATGTCTATTCTCAGAACAAACATAAAACAAACGCAACAGAACTAGCTACTGTAACTAGGCCTAGGCATAAAGGCTATTCACATAAACACTTTGGCTTAAAAACTGAAGGATTTACACTTTCAATCATTTGATATACTACTCTACATATGGGAAGAACAGACATGTCAACTTGTTACTGACCTGATGCAGACTATAGGCCTACTGAAGAAGCGGACTTGTGTGTGTATGTGTGTGTGTCGTCGGTAGATGTCAGCGTATGATTTAATATGGCATGCAGAGCCAAATGCCATCCAGCTCTACCTCTCTGGACGTCATGGGTTGAGTTTGTTTGACAGTCCAAACTTGGAAGATGAAGATCCCGCGCTGCTTTTCAGTGAGTCATAATGCAAATAATTTAATAATAATAATAATTTTTTTACGCTGCACAAGTTTGTCAGGATGCGTATATTTTCCTCTGCTTAAAATAGGCACAAAATTAATGTTTTTTATAAGCCTCAGAATAGATCAGGTTAAATTTAAGTTTTAGGCTATTTATATTAGGCCTAGGCTATATTAGGCTACATTTTATTGGTTTTATGCTATTTTGCTCAACAGAACTGCACGAGTGATTAAAGAGCTCATCTTCAACTAAACATCTTTGCTCCACATGGGTTCACTGTTCTCGCATGATAAAACTCAGGTGAGAAACTTTGACTGCCCCGCCTCCTCAAGTCAGGTATTGAAAACACATCGTTACATAACACACTTGTTGAATGAGGACTAGTAGCAGCCCATTACTCGACCATTTTATGTTTGTTATCATAGCTCTCTAAACCCGTAGCACGTTCTAGTCAGCTTTATAACCGGACAACAGGATGGTGAGCAGTCAGGTAGAGGCCACCGGGCAAGATATTATGTTGCTAGAAGGCACCGAACACCGCGACTATTCGTGCGACGGGTCACCGCTGCCAGCAGAATCTCCTTCAAATGGAAGGGGGGCGAATCTACGGACACCGACGAAAAAACCCTCAGAGGACAGTAACGCCAAGAAGAGCTGCCAAACAGGTGGGTACAAAATATCTCCTGAACAATTTCCAGGTGAAGATTAATCATTGTGACCCTACTGGATAGACTTAAACCCAGTAGGGTCACAATGATTAATCTTCACCTGGATAGACTTAAACCCAGTAGGGTCACAATGTCCAGGTGAAGATTAATCATTGTGACCCTACTGGGTTTAAGTCTATCCAGCCAGCCTAAGCTGGTGTGCTCTGCTGGTCTTAGATGGTTTAATATGGTCTTATGGCCTAGTATTTAGCAGGTAAAACAGTCTTAGATTGGTTTAAGATGTCACAATCATTTTGACATAGGCCTATATAATAAATCTTTTTATATATATAAGATATTATCTCAAAACGTATTATAACTATTTATAATATATAAATGCTTCCTATAGCCTATACAGTTAACATGATCATAGATATTAGTTCCTGGCTGAATTTTGAAATGGGTTTGTTTGCAGCTGTTAAATTACATTAGGTATGTCCCATTCCAGAATGACATGAAAAAAAAAATATATATAGCCTATATTTTAAAATATAAAGCCCACTGCTTCTCTAATTGTCCTGTATTCCTTTAGGACCGAAAAAACACAAGTCCACATCTGAAAAGAAATACCTCGGAGTTAGAGTGAAAATGCCAGTACGGGACATTCTCAGAAATATACGTATTGCCAAGGGTATTGACAATAAAGATCTGCAGGTATGATTTTGTTTCTGATGATGTTTCTTCTACTATTTATTTATAATCACATTGAGGCATGTTGATCATGGTCTGACTCTATTTTTTTTAGGGGAAAAAATCTAAGGCATCTAAAGGTAAGGTTGAAATATGTAAATGTCAGTTAGCATGATCATTTTAACCTCATTACGTTTCTAATTAAAAATGTCTTTGGTACAAAGGGGAAAAGAAACGAGTTACCACCGGTAGAAACCGGAGACATTTTCTGGTGAGTAACGTCTGCAAAACTAGCTCCTTTTTTTTTTGGAAACGTCTTTGGACCAGTTACCTGGTACATAGGCTGGTTGTGAGAAATCTTTTGTCTGCTACAGAAGAAACATCAAACAAAGGGTCTGGAAGAGCTTGCTATTATAGTAGAAGTGTTGGAGGAGGATCTTAAGACCTGTCAGTCATACAGATCACCAAACAAAACCCATTCAGCTTCATACTCTTCAGAGTTCGGGGTTGAAGAAGCACCTCAACAGGGTTTGATGAACACATACGGTCAGGAGAATGAGATCCCTCAATCTCCAAGCTACTTCGTACCCTCTGAAACCTCGCCTGTCCATTCTGTGTGCAGCTCTTACCCGTCCCCATCTTACAGCCAGGGTACCGATGTCTTCTTTGGGAATCAGGAAGAATATAGCAGTTATGAGTCAGATAAGTACAGGTATGATGATCTATATGGAGTGAGCTGCTCTGCTGCAAACTCATACGAATACCAAGTGCCCTCCCCACAAGAATCATTCCATCCAAGTCCCACCCCAGAAGTCTGGGAGGTCTCTCCACAAAAGATGAAGTGTCCACCATGGCCACAATCTCAGCAGGAGGAGTGCAGCGTTATGACCTTCTTCTGTACTCAAATGGAAAGAGAGGAGAATCTGCTGAAGGAGATATCTGACCAAGAGCTTCTTGCTGTAGACGAAAACGGAAGGATGTAAGATCATTTTACTTTTCAAAAACTCACTGAAGCCATTGCAGATGGTTTCTTCATGCAGATTCTAATGGGTAATCTTTCAAAGTACGGCTGTAATTTATACAAAATGAAGAAAATGCACAGTTTCTGAAAACAATCTTCAAGTAGCAAGAATTGCAAGGGTACTTTTGCAGTGCCACCTTTATCATTTGAAACTTTTTATGAAATACAGAAAGAACGAAATTGGGTCACCCATCGTCGTTGTCACGTTCAATAAGTGGCTACATTAGTTTTCCGCTCACAACTTTATGACAAACCCCATTATTAACTCCTCAAGCTGGGCAGAATAAAAGAGATTAATGGGAACCCGGTTGAAATTCGAAGCATTTTAGCACCAACAAAAATGGCACAGAGGGTCTTCAAACAAGCCCTCTCGCACACAGAATTAATTGGAACAATGGTAATTGATATGACCGTACACACAAACCTGACAAACATCCTGAAAGACTACACCAGTTGAAATGACAACTATGTCAGACTCATTAAAAGATGATGCATGGTTTACCTTTCCGTGGAATAGGCCAATAGAACTCCACCCATTGAACACAGCCATTTACAATTAGTAATAGCTTTTCCCTGACACTGAAAAGCGAACAGATCATGCAATGGAAAGTGACTGCTTTCTTGCTCTCTCCACAGTCTTTTACACAGAGTTGTTGAGGAGGGAAAGAGATCCCTTGTGTATGTTATTGCCAGAAGGATGATGGCTCTGAAGAAACTAGATATCAAAGATTCAGAGGGAAAGGTGACAAACAATCATACATGCATATTCTATGAGTGTCAGTCGCTCAACAAACACGCATAAATGTTGCATGGGCCTGTTTTTCTTCCTAGACTCCTCTTCATCTTGCTGCACAGAAGAATCAACACTTCATGGTGGCTGATTTGGTGTCACTTGGTGCAAATATCAATGCGAAGGACCGATATGGGAAGACATGTCTCCATCTCAGTGCAGAGAATGGATATATTCGAGTCTTGGAGGTAAATTTATGTGGTGCTGGAATATTAGCATACAGATCCCACTTCTACACATTCACTCATACTGTAAATGTTTTTTTTTTTTGTTTTTTTTACAGGTCCTGAAAGGTTTAATGAGAATTGGCGTGTATGTTAATTTGGAGGAAAGAGATGCAAACGGTATGTTCAGTTTCATTTATTAATGCTAATAATGTAATTGTGCGTTAGGGGACCGGTTATTATGTCCCCATTCATTTCCATAAAGGTCATCTGGATTATTTGCATTTGACAAATTTTTTATGAGGGTTTTCCGCAGTAAGGCTGTGGCTTCAACCTTAGAAAGAATCTTGTAGAACTAGTCACAAACTTTGTTGTTTCAAAATCCTGTTGTGAAAGAGGTGCCTCATTTGACTGTTTTGTAATCAGAATTTACATTACTAAAGAAAGACTTAGAAGTGATGTGGTTTATTGGTTAAAGATCTGGGCTTGTAGCTGAAGGTTTGTTGGCATTGTAAAAATGTTGTGCAAATGAATCAATTTAAGAAAATGTACCAGCTATAAATATTTCTTAAATTGTGCGGACATACATTTTGGGTCAGGCTGTCATACAAAGAAATTAAGAACACATGCAAAAACAAGAGAGAACCAACAAAATATTAATAACTGTCTTTAGTTTAGTTTCCTTTGAGCTTTTTGTTTTGCTTATGCATTTAAAAAAAAACTTTTTTTGCCCAATAATTTTGTCAGATAAATACCTTAAAGGAGTCATATAATGCCATTTTTGTACAAGCTAGTATGATTCTTTAGGGTCTAAATTAAAAGTTTGTAATATACTTTATTTAAAAATTCTCATTAGTATTGTAAGAAAACACTTATTTTACTTGGTCAAAAACAGCTCTGTTTTCAGCACGCCGTTTCATTGCATATGACTTTAAATGATAATGAGCTTTGCTCACCCCGCCCCTCTGTTCTGTGCATACACCGTTTGTAACACAATAACACAATAACCATAACGCGTTGTTCAATATAAACTTGGGATTATTAATTATATTGAGAACATCATACATAGAAAACATGCCGTAATGTACCCTAAGTGTAAACCTTACACGCATTCATTGTGAAGCGTGCAGCTAGCGATTTGCAAAGATTAATATAAATATTAACGTTACACTCACTTCAGTTGTTCTAGAGGTTCAGCAGGAACACGAATATCTGGTACCGATCCTTTTTTCATGAGCAGCTTTTTAGCAAAACCAGCTTTATACTGACCCTCTTTTATAAAGCAGTCTGGTGAGAAATGATTCGCGCAAACATGAAAGCATTGACGTTGCTCGAGGGGAATATTCCCTTCGAAAACAAACTCAGCCACTGCGTCTTCAGCGGTTCGGATTTAGGAACATTAAAATGACTGCTGTGTTCGCTATTACACCCAAGAACAGAACACCACAATCGCTTAGACGCCATTCTGCTCATAGACAGTGCTCCAGCATATCAACAATGACCGCGCTGGTCCGCGCAGACTATGATTGACAGCTCGCTCATGAGCGAGGGCGGGTCTGTGTTGGAACGCTGCTGTCAATCAACAATCGTGGGAGGGGCTTCCGAGCGTGTGACGTCACACGGTCAAATGGCTCAATTTGAGGCAGGGGAAAACATATAAGGAGATTAAAACAAAAACACTGGATGGATTTTTATCATTATATGATGGTTGTGTACAGGCACTGCCAACACACATTTCAGTACAATCAACTTGTAAAAGTGCATGTACCATTATATGACCCCTTTAACTGAGTTTGTTTTGTTCTTCCCTCATATTTAACACACACACACATATACTGTATATATATATTTTTGTTTTTAATGACCCTACAAGTTTGATGAAACCATTAAAATATGAGGAAAACGTTACTTTGTATATATATATATATATATTTTCCTCATATTTTAATGGTTTCATCAATCTTGTAGGGTCATTAAAAACAAAATGCCCTCCAGACAGCAGAAATAATATGGGTCAATGACACTTTTTGTCTATTAATTCATCCAGAAATACATGAAACCTTATTATGTAGATTGGCATAGTCTTTTATTATTATTCCCTTGAAAATAAATATTTAAACGATGTGTGTGTTAGTTTGTTTATAATTATTATCAATTTAATTATTAATTTAATTATTTTAATGACAAGGCAAGGTTAGTTCAGGTTGTAAAAAGTCATATAACGCATTATTAGATGGTAACTTCAGTAGAGCCTTGTATGTCAGATGGAAAAACTGCAATGGCTAGTTCTTGCAGTTTACGTGATTTAACATGTTGTAGTTCTTGATAAAGTTACCAGACAAATTATGATATCTTTGGATCCTGGCCATGAGCTTTCACACATTGAAGTTGTTTTGGATCAAATCATATGCTAAATGGCTAATTGGAAGTGTATATCTATAGCATGTGAAGAGAACAGGGATTTATGGATGGTATTTTGTTTGCAGGGCTCAGTGCGTTGCAATGTGCAGCAGTAGCTCTTAACCACACTGTGCGGGAACTGGAGCTGTACGAGTCTGCAGGCCATCTTAGACTGCACACTCTTCGCAAGGAGCAGATGATGGAAACGCTCGAGTGCCTCCTTCAAATGGAGTGCTTTATACATGCTCCGGTGAGAATGAGAGACGTACATGCCGCTGCCCCAACATAATTCACTTGCGTAGGAGTTTCATTCGTTTTTTTTTCTTCTTCTTCTTCTTCAATATAGGAACATGGTCGCCTCAATACGATGAACAGTGTTGATTCCAAGCCGTGTGGACAAGCAGCCTTCTTTCAGTCAAATAAAATCAAGGTGAGAGGGATGTTTAATATTAGATGACTTATGTGCACACCTGTTACATTGCACAAATATCTGACATGTTTTGTTCACGGCACAAATTCTTAAACCATGTGGTGATTGAATTGTTTTTCTTGTTTTTCAGGCCATCAACAACATGATTTAGAAGTGGTCTGGCTCATTTGCAGCTTCTTCCAGCAAGAGTTGTTTTCTCTGCCTGGCCACGCAATACTGTTAACTGACGGTAAATGTTTTTGAGTGAATACAAGCTTTAACCTGCCAATGAAGACAATATGTACATGTGTATACACACACATATTTTCGTAATCAGTTACTTTTTTTTTCTGTGGATAATGAGAAAAGTCTTCATGGCAAGGTAAAGCTATGTATTATGCAACCATAGGTTTTGTTAAGTGCTCAGGTGAAAAGTGAGGTGTATCGCTATACAAAAACACAATGGTTGCCCATTAGCTGGTTTCTATGAAACTTCCACTGTTAGTTACGTTTGAGTAGCAAAATGTTATAAAAAGAGAAAAATGTGGAAAGACCTATGAGTCTGTCGAATGCCACAGTTTATATTCACTCCAAGAGTAAATAGTTGTGATATTGAGGAGACTGTCATCATTACTGGCGTACAATAGCAAAATGCAGAAGCTGTGCCAACAATGGAACTGATTTTTTTTTTTGTTGTTGTTGAATTTTTACACTCCATTTCTCTGAATCTAGGAGACACAATTTTTACAAAAAATGCATTTGTTGCATTTTGCTTTTGCACAACAATATATGTTGATGTTTCCTAATAGCATTTACAACAATATATACACATAGTGCTAGGTTTTATTCTCCATTTTGCAAAGTTGTAAGTGAATTCTGATGCACACTATTGTTCAATAAGAAAAGTCAGAGAAAATATGATATATCAGCAAGGACGCCTTAAATTGATCAAAAGTGACAGTAAAAACTTTTGGAATGTTACAAAAGATTTTTATTTCAAATAAATTCTGCTCTTTAATTATCAAAGATTTCTGAAATAAATAGCAGTTTCAGCAAAAATATTAAGCAGCACAACTCTTAAACATTAATACAGTAGTCAACATTTGAAGTGGATCAAAAACTTTTATTAAAGTTATACATACATTTTTAGCAATACCCGTTCTTGTCTTAGGACAACTTTGAACTTTTTTTGATCCACTTCAAATGTTGACTACTGTGGTTTCTTGAGCAGCAAATCAGCATATTGGAATGATTGCTGAAAGATCATGTGACTGAAGACTGGAGTAATGATGCTGAAAATTCAGCTTTGTCATATTAAATAGTAAATATATAAAAATTCTAGTAATTTCACAATATTACAGTTTTACTGTATTTTTGATCAACTTAATGCTGCCTTTGTGAGCATGAGACTTTTTTCAAAAACATTAAAAATAACATGATTATTGGAATTACAAGGTTATTTCAGTATTTGAGGTGAGAAATATTCTTAATTAATTTTACCAAAAATTGCTCTTGTGTAAGCAAAAGCTGTCCATTTTTTAGTGTTGTATTTTGTATTAATGATAAGATAAGGCTTTGTTTATGCTCTATTGTAAAGTGTACCGATTATTATATCTATTTTTTTATACATGAAAATGGTTTTAAAAACAAAATAGACACATGGCATATTAATGGGAGCGGGTATACATTAGAAATTATAGCTGTGAGAGCTATAATTTTTCTGTGAGAGATTCATTTGTGGTCATCTTTCCAAACTTATTTTAATTATAAATGCTTACAGTTGCAATCAAAATTATTCAACCCCCCGTAGACTGTATCTTAGCGTACATTTGTAAATTATTACAAAGTTTAACAATTGCATCTATAACAGTTTAGTGGCAATTAAAGTGTGATAATGTCAATATATATTCTAATGCTTTTGAGTTATATGATTTTAATACATGTCATAATTATTCAACCCTTATTCAACGCTGCTGTTTTTAAGTCACTTATTTGTATGGTACGGTACAAAATTGTTAAAACACAATTAAGCCTTTAACAAAACATCTCAGGTTACTCATGTAACCATGGTTCCCTGAGAAGGGGAGTAAGACTGATCTACACTCTAAACTTGAACTCGCTCTACAAACTGCCCAGGAATGCGCAATTGAGCTCAAGATATAGACCCTTAAACCATAGAGGGTTTGCGAGTCTCGAGCGAAAACCCCATCCATACCTCTATGGATGGGGTTTTCGCTCGAGACTCGCAAACCCTCTATAGTTTAATAGAATGACACCACAAGAGAGCTTCCTGCTTAGAATAACCCCAATATCCGGAGGAGAAAGCCACAGCCTTGCACGTTCACTTAAGCCGGGTGCACACTGTGCGGTTTTGGCCATGATTTAGCTGTCTGAGAAAAATTTTGCAAATCCTAAAAGATTCCTCTCATCCTATGGGCTAAAATCGGAAGTCTTTGATCGTAAGTTTGACATGTTCACCAACAGCCGATTAATGACCGTTGTGATCAAATTTGACCTTCGACGAAATTCTGCCAGTGTCAGAAGATTTGACTCCCAGTCCTGCAGTGTGACCTCTCCTACGATGACCGTCAAATTGTCTTTGTTTTTCAAGACAAGCAGTGACCAAAATTAACATTAGAGGTTCCTTTGTAGCCACCATTAAATCCCGCGTGTGTAACACAGTTCACTGTCACCGAACATGTCATTGATTGATGATGTAAAACTCCGGACAAGTTTTCTTGCGTGTGTCCGTTTTTAATGCTTCTTAACTCCCGTACAGTCTGACATTGACAACTGAGATCTTACAGTGTGACATGACTTACAGCGATGATCATGTTCATATAGTCTGACAAGCAACAATTGTAAAAGACTATTATAATTCGTATAGTGTGCACCCGGCTTTAGTCTGCTTTAAAGTCACTCATAGCAAATAATTAAAATCTTGGATTCAAATAGCAAGACTACGAATGCAACACATCTTGCAATCATACCCCCTGCCAAACTGTCAGAATAGGCAGATATTATTATTTTGCCATAAACGTCATGCTTCAGGGTCTGATGCAAGCATGTATGAGAAACCCTCTAAAAGTCAGCCCCAGGGATCAGGAAGTGGGACCAGGGATGGGAGAAGATTGTGTTTTCTCCTTTTCAACTCTGAGTGTTTCCATCTCCATAGTCAAACATGGAGGTGGTCCAGTCTTGTTATGGGGTGCTTTGCTGTAGCATGAAGTAGAAATCTTGACTGTATGAAGGACATCATGAATGAGTGACTGAATGGGTGAATGTGAGGCAAATATGTAAAGGGCTTTGGTGGCCATTAGGTCTATGAAAGCGCTATATAAATGCAGTCCATTTACCATTTACCATTCATTTTTCATTTTCATCAACTTTGCGTTCTCAGAATCAGTCAAATGTGTATTAATAAACTTTGTTGAATTGTTACCACAACATTTCATTCTCAGCAGCAAAATGTCTTGCAGGTTGAATAATTTTGATTGCAACTGTATTTATGTGTGGTCATATCAGTTAATAGTATACATTGTATAAGTTAGGGTAAATGGGTGTATGTGAGTTTAAATTGGACATTTAATTAAATACATCTTTTTTTTATTGATGTGGCAAATTCTTTATTCACGAGTTCACACTTACATACAATTAGAGTGGATAAGGTTTAATGCGTATTTGGCGTGCTGTCCGGGGGGAGGGCTCCGAGCTCGGAGTTTGGAGCCCCCCCCCCCCCCCCCCCCCCCCCCGGTGTTTAGGACTAGAAGTGTGGAGAAGGGGCGGTGGAGGGATGCTGCTAAACTATCAATGGAGGGAGGTGAGATTGCTGAATCTATATATACCTCTTATCATTTATTGCTGTCAAGTGCTGCAGATAAAGTATGAGGTCACAAAGGCTATACTTTCACATGCACAATTCTGATTTATTGCTCAATGTGGCCAATATCAGTGTAACTTCCCTAAGCACTTCCCCACCGCCATTTTAAAGTACATTTAACCTTGTTAAGTGGACTAGGGAAGTTTATTATTGGGAAGTTAGCTAGGGAAGGGCATAGAAAATTGGACTTAAACGCAGACCTTGGAGTGATCAAAGAACTCTTTGGAGTGACTCCCGGCCGCTCATATTGTGACGAATGTCAAGTGACACGAATCTAGAGTGACACAAATGTGGCATGAAATCTTAAATGTTTTTTTTTCTTTCTTCATGATTTGTGTCTGAAAATTGCTCATTTGATGTCTGTTTTGTTTGTAAATTTGTCTGATTTCAATGAAAAAATAATTATATATAGGCTACTGTATATACAAACGTTCAGACTGAGGTCGCATTGCAAAACATCCGACCCAAATCAGATTCCACTTGGTTTGTGCTGTTCACACTGTTATGAAAACAAAACAAAAACAAAAACATATCTGAGTCACATTTGAGTTGGGACACTTTTGCCTGCAGTCTGGACGTAGCCAAATTTTCAATGATTTGTGGAAACAAAGGTTGTTTTGCCATGTCTGCGATTATCTATAATCATGCAAAGAGATTTTTGTATTATTGGTGTTATTTTTGCATTACTCTGGGAAGAGGCGTTTTCATAAACTTAAACTATGAGTTTTTGAACTGCCATCAGTCTTATCTTGTGCAGGTCTGTGCCAGAGGCATAATGGGGCAGGTTTGTACAGATGAGATACCAGTGTAATTATCTTGTTGCTTTGTTGTTTTCATCTTGACCCTGTTAGAGAGAGAGGGAGAGAGAGAGCATTAATAAGTCTTTCTATAAGACACAGTCCCTGTTACATATACATGCTGATGCTGTTTGGAAAAAATAAATAAACCAGTTACATTTGACTGCTGCTGTTTTTGTGTTTTTATGCAAGTTTATAGCAGTAACTTACATCTTTCTCCTTAGCAAGTTCATGAGAGTTCACAAGAGACGACTGTTCTGAATTTTCAATTTAAGCTCACTGACTGGTTGATCTTGACACAGCTGGAGCGGAAGGGTTTCGCTGAATTATGACTTTAACTCTGTTCCTCTCACAAAGCTGTTGTGTGACTTTGATTATAATGTACAGACCACTTTAATGATATGTTGCATTGCATCCCTTTGGAGGCCTGAAAGCGGTGTTGTTTTAGTATTATTTATACTGTTAAATGTATTAATGTTTAAAGCTTTTTATTTTTTGATATTTTCAGATTTAATTTAAGCTTAAGTGTGAATAATTTTTGTATTTTTGTCATTTTTAGATTTTTTAAAATACTATTTAGTTTTTTTTCATGTTTAGTTATTTTACATTTGTTTAATTTAGTTGCCAAGGTAACATTTCTAATTTATTTTGAAGTTTAATGTTTTCATCAAATATTTATATATTTTATTTCATCTTTATATTAACAGAAACTAATTTTTTAGTTAACAATAACAATTCTGCTTTTGAAAGCTCCAGTCCCCATTCATTGTAAATGTAAATAAAGAGAAACCAGCACAAAGTTTTTCTGTTTGAGTTTCACTGAAGATATAAATATGTAAATTTTTGGAATGACATGAGGGTAAGTAAATTGTGGCTTTCCCTTGTCAAATGATAAGAATCACTTTTATTTGTGGCAATAGCAGCTTACTGTTGAAGGATGTGTGGGGGGTGTCTAAATATGTGAAGCTCTTTGAAGAGGAGTTTCTTCTATACCTTCAGGCACAGTCAGCTGGAAGGTAAACAGACTGCTGAGTGAAATGCCCTTTGCCCTGAGGGCCACAAGTTAACGCCTCCAAACTTCTCACGCACACTCGTCTCAGCTTGCATTCCCCAGCTGCGTGTCAGAAGTCACGCTCTGGACTGCAGCTCTGGAAAGGAGGCAGGTGTGATCCGCAAAAGACTTACACTTGACTCAAGAGATTCCAGAAATAAAATGTTGTAAAATTTCTAGTGAATGGTGTGCTTGAAATTAAACATGAATAATGGAGCTATGATTTAATATATTAAAAAATAATCCACCATGTTCTTCTTTCTCTGAAAATATTTACATTCCTCCATTTTTCCCTCTCAGTATTTTAGAGAGAGAGAGAGAGGGGAGGAGGGGTATTATTCAAAGATAATGTGAAAATATTGTTCAGCTAACTGTATGTTATGGTTTTGCACAATGCTTGGTTTGCATCTTCAGATTTAAAGCGCGAAAGACAGTCAAAATATCAATCAAAAATATGTCTGGAATTATTCCTCTCTCTCTCTTTTGTATGATTATGTAGGCTACCATAGAGACTCTTTGACTATAATAAGAACTAATAAATAATAATATATTTAGATATCATTGTATAGCCTACAGGATGATGTTGCACCATCCATACGTAAAATAATTTAGGAAAAGAAAAGAAAAAGAAGATAAAGGCCTACAGTAAACTTGCCCCAACTATAGCTAATCATATTCACACACGCGTTTTATTTGGACTCTTGTTTGATTCCTGCTGAGCCGATCAGCCCTATACGGACACTAAGCAGGTTGCGTAGCGTAGGACCATGCACATTACTCAAGGCACTGTCTCCCCCTCGTGTCAAAGCGCGTCAATAAAAGTTTACAACATCGATGAGAAAATTAAGCGGAACTATCCTTCTGGTCACGAAAAGACAGAAAAAACGTGTGTTCTCTCCTCTCCAAGTTTGATGTCAGCAAAGAACAGTAAAGTTAAGTTGATGTGCGTCTCTCACTAGTCTGTCTGTCAATCCAAGTAACCCAGAGGGCAGTGCACCTTTTGGTCTGTCTGTGTCTTTGCTAATGGCGGCCACTTCAAGTTCCAGGGCTGTGTTCTGTGACTTTGTGCCTGACGAAAAAAATAATAATAATTGAGAGTGAAATACAACTATTTATTATGTTTGATAAACAAAGGGCAACTGTGTTTGTTTATAAACTGCATTTCGGAAAAAAGATAGCCTACCGGCCGCGTCGCGCGTTAATATGCGCGTGCACGAAATGAAACGCGCACTTTCCAGCAAAACATATGTGGGGACCCAAGCCTATATGGGCGTGATGGCACTCCTCGTTATAGGCGCACTGCTTTTAAAACAAGACAATGATTATCTTCTAGTCTCCTAGTCAGTTTAGTTACAACTCTGCAAAAAGCAATGTATTGACATTGACATTGACTATTGATTTAGTTATAGGCTATTGCATTTAAACTGTTGATTGGCTGGACATACCGGACCGGTCAATAAATAATAACCACCACCAAGTAACAAGCCTATTGCTTTTATCATTTAAAACACATGACATGCTATGCCAAGCCATTTTAGCTTGATAAACAGGATGCAAATTTGATATCAATAATTTTGTACTATTTAAAATGTGAATTCTTGATATTAAGAATGTACTTTTTCTAGTAGCCTAACAATGTCTATTACAGTTTCATTAGTAGGCCTAAGGAGGGAGGATTGTAATGGGAGCACTGGGGTGTCAGGTGTGACTGTGTGGCAATGGCAAATGGTTTACATGGCTCATGGGTCAGGAGGGCCCCTTAACAGAATTTTGCTTAGGTCCCCAGGGAGGTCGATCGGCTCTGGATTCCTGATTAGCTTTTGGATGTTATTAGACTAGTGACTTACAATCCTGTAATATGACAAAGAAAAAAAAAAGTTATTTGCGTGATATGTAAATAAACGATCCTGTTTAGTATGAGATCAGATCAAATTTTAGGAGCAATTTATGCAGAAATCCATGGTAAATAAAAGGGTCACGTAATTTCCCCCTTAACTGTAGCCTATGTTGTTCATGAACAATTGTAGGCTAAAACAACCCAGATAGCAGCAGAGTCCGGGTCAAATCTGGCGTACATTCGGCACTTCTGAGCGCTGTGATCTAGACTGAAAATAAACCGGCAAGGTTTCTCTCACTCACCAAACAGAACAGGAACCCCGTTGCCTGCCGTCTCGTTTATTCCTTTGATGCCATCGTGAGGACACATCACACATTACAACCAGCTACGCGTCTAATGTGCAATAAGCTTATGGTGAACTCATAATTATGCCTCTTTCATTCATAATTATAATGGGTTACAATGATGAAAAGCTTGTTAAAAGAATACAGCGTTTAAATTTTCTGCTCAAAAACAAAAAATATTGTAAGCACATCAGCCTGAATATTGAAAATGTAAATAATAATTAAGAAAACCAGGCCTATTTAATGACAATAAAAATACAATAAATATTAATAAAGCTACATATAGGTAATACTAATAAAGAGGAAAAGGTGGACTGCCGAATGTATCATCACATAGCCTACATTAATGTTTTTTAATCCTTTATTCCAAAAGCTTTTCATTTCAAATAAATGCTAAAGAAATGTAAATATGTAAGTTCAACAGCTGTAAAATATACATTTGTATTTTAAAAAGTATCAAATATTGAAAAACATGTTTTTGGTCGTTTTCTAATGTATTTTCATCAATCATTATCAGATATTTGCCTTTTAGTTGCTTGGAAAAATTACTGAAATGTTTTATTTTCAGTGATGTTTATTTGCTGATATACTGTTCTTTTTCTTTGAACATTTATCAGCATACATATTCATTTATATCAGCATGTGTAAACAAGCAAAATAATTATTCATCACAATATTCATAAAATATTTAAGAATCATTTATTGACATTTTAATCAACCAAAAATAAGAATTACTGCACAATATAATTTGTATTTATTAATCAAGTGTCGGTAGATTCTGAAACGCATTAGAACCTGCAGAAATTAATGCATTCAGATTTGCTACGCTTGTCGGTTTTCAGAGGCACAGTATACTACTGTAGTAATGTGCACCTGTTCAAAAATGTTGAAATCATTCAAATTCGTCAGAATTTTAAAGTCCTGTATCAAATGACAGTGATTGTTTTCCGCAAACCTGCATAAAAACAATCTATATCTCATACGGATTACACATTATATATATATAAAAAAAAGCACTATGTTAATGAGAATAAAACAAATGGGCAAAATAAAAATTCTACATATTGTCATAATGCACAAAAGCATTCATTTCTTATTTTGGGTCATGCAATAAATTGTAACCCAACATGCTTTTCGATGTATTAGACATGCATTCCATACCTGAGCCAAAAAAAAAAAAAAACAGTCATTAATATACTATAAACCTTAGTTTAAAATATATTTTAAAGCAATTTAAATATCATTGCAAACGCACTATTTCTCCTGTATTCTATATATAATTACATGAGATATTTCACAAACAAAGGAGAAATATAAGGAAATACATGAAATTATAAAGCAAAAAATGAGTGACATTTTACATTGCAGTGCTTTGCATTATTACAATATTAGTAAGAATTCCGACCATGTCGCTACATTATTACAATTTCTCATTATGTTGTGCTGTTGAGTAAGCATGATATTTCATGATAAGTAAAGAACGGAGCAAGCCTGTACAGAACATCTTATTTTGTACACTAAAACAATGTAATGTCCCATGTGAAATTCATTCAAATCTTGATGGGTAGCTTTTCATTAAATATATCGTTGTAAATTGAAATACCAAGCAAGGTCATTAGAATGTATTCAAGGCTATCATCACAGTGCTTCAGATATTATGCTCTCAGTTTCATGAAACCATGCGGCTTTCGCTTTGGAAAAACAAAACCATTTTAATACATGAGCTCTTGTTTTTTTTTCTGAGGTTCACTAACTATTCGGAGCATAAAAACATGCTGTCAGAGCCTGGTATAAGTGAAATGCTGGTAAGAGACAGAGGTTTAGGCACTGGAATCCTCTTTTAAGCGCTGACTGCGAGCCTTGTAGACTTCAATCAGGAGATCTTTCACATACTGAATCTCTCTCTCTACAGATTCTGCTTTGTCCCGAAGTTCTCTGTTCCGCCCTTCCAAACCATGAAGCTCCTCCTCCAAACAGTCCTGCTCCGCCCTCTTACGCTGACGGTACCTATTGTTTTTATGGCAACATTTGTGGAATAAAATAGCATGGTTCAGCTTTTCTGCTCGTATGATCCACAACAAAAAACATGCTTTCTTAATTGACTTGTTTTTATTAGCTCATGCAATATTCTAGCGCTTCCATTTGACTAACTGACCAAGGCGACAACTTTATTATTATTTGTCCCCAGATTTAAAAAAGAAAAAGAAAAAAAAAGGCTACAGTACCTGTGGGCAGCAGACTTGTTCTGGTCTCTCTTCTTTTGCTTGCGTTCTCCATGGTTTCTCTCCGAAGAACCTACTTTAACATCTGGTTTAAACACACACTGACTTTCCCGTGACCTTTGTAGTGGCTTCTGGACAGGCAACTCCAAAGAGGACTCAACACTGTCACCGGACAGACATTCAAAGCTTTGATCCCCAAGGCATTCATGGTGCAAGTAGTCATTGTTCTGGATATCAACAGCCCCAGTTCTAATTGGCTGATCGATTTCATTCATGTAGCCGTGATATGGCTCTAAATTGGCAGTAATCTGATGAAAGTAACACTCGGCTACGTCGGATTGTTTATACGGCGGACAGCTCTCGTTCTCGGCGCACTGCAAAATCGGCGTGGCAACCCCGTCATGGCCGAGCATCTTCATCCCGTGGCTCTGGCCCTCTCTCCTGTGGTGGGGCTCCAGGGACCCACCGAGATCATAACTTCTCATCATCTCCGCTCGGTAAAACACGTCTTCCGTGAAGCAACTTTTTTCTTCTTCCTTCAACAGTAAAGCACATTCTCGAACCTTCTTTGCGCTGCCGTGGTTCTTTGCGAAGGATTTGTCGACAGAGCACTGGTCAAAAGCCAACTCTGCATAACCTGAATGAGTCCCTTTGAAAGTCCACGTTTCTTTCTCAAACACCTCCACATCTTTACATCCGTTTGCTGATATTCTTTGGCTATTGCAGTGTGTCCGAATGTAGCTGTAGGGGCTGGGTCTAGACATTTTCGGGCGGCTCATAGAGCCCCCGCAGAAGCCTCGTAGGTCGAGCTCTCCAGTCCCCAGGGACAGCAGCCTGGGATTTGTTTCAGGTTGGTTAACATTGTACGAAGCGCAGGGTAACTGATAGTATGACTGCGTAGCCATAGCTTGCAGGCTTTTGTCACACTTTTGCCATTTTTCCAATTTCAAAGGTGTTGATTCACACAGGTAATAATCCTCCAGTTGAGCCAGTTCTTCTTTAAGAAGAGTGGTCATAACCTCCAAGTCGGAGGGCATTTGGACGTCATGCTCCAGAGGTGAGGGTGGGATAGAGGAACCAGGAGAGGATTCTGTGGAAGCTGAGTTTGGGTAAGCGTCAAAAGTTTTTGTCATCCAATCTGTTGAGAAAAAACAATTCAGCATTATTTCAAAATACAGATGGAATATCTCAGTATATGCATGGTGGCAAATATAACACTGAACTACGAATATCTATATATTTTCCTGTTAAACAATACATGCAAGTCTAGCGAAAAAAAAAAAAAGATGAAACGATGTGGATCACCAAAATATTTGCTTTACTTACTGTACGCCATTAACACATACGCTGCAGTGCGGTTCCCACCAACAATCGGACAAAATAAAAGTGCCGTACTGCTTACCAATTTAGTCCTCCGTCTGTGCAGACTCCTCCCTCCGCCTATGATTGGCCTTCGTTAGCCAGTAGGAAAGAGGGAGCTCTTAAGCCGGCTGTGCAAATGAGGGGAGTATTCCTGGGAATAATCAATGCCGCCACAATTTCGATTGAAATGGTGAATTGCGTACAACGCATGAGAATCGAAGAAATGCCTCATACAGGAAAGAGATGTGAAAAACTGAAACCTATATTAAAATATAAAAAAACATGTAAAAAGCACTTGTTAATTCAGTTTTCCAAGTGTCAAAAAATTTGAATAAAAACTAACTCAAACATTTCATTTTTTCCAAATAAAAGATGCACAGTTTCATAGACTATCATGAAAATGATTAATTAAAAAAATATATTTAAGTTAAATTGACTGAATTGATAAGATAGAGTGCAATATTTTCTAATAATTTAAATAATAATAATAAAATCTAAACATAATGAATATGACCTTTTGCTAGAGCTCATTTAGTATGCTGTAATATGATGCCTCTAGTCAGGTTCAGTGCCAAATGTAAAAAGGAGGCTAAAGTAAAGTCTTAAAATATTCATTTCAAAAGGATTTTTTTACAGTTTAAAATTCAAAAGCATGTTTATACTGTAGAAATGAAAACTTAATTTTAAAATATAAAAGATATTACGATTTATAAATCCACTCAGAAACATCAAAAGGTCAAAAGTGCCTGAAAATAGAGCCTTACACAATATTGTTCAAAAAGAAGCTTGTGAGCAGTACAGAAAATATGTAAAAACAAAGTTAAGCAATTTCTGCATTTTTAAATGCAATTTCAAACAAAGCTATAACAAATGTCATGATGAAAACTCATCTCTATAGATTTTTTGCAGGTTATTCTCTAGTTCGGAAACTCTGAAAACTAGTTAAACTGAGATATACACGGTCACAGGAAGTTGTAGCTCATATAAAAGTCTGAATGGAAGTTGACACTTACTCCATCGTGTTGAGGTGGTCAGGTCTGAAGAGCTTCTGTGAGCGCAGGAAACCGCAGTGGAGGAGCTCACGTTTTCAATTTAGCAGAACATTGTCTCACTCTTCTTCATTTGATGTCGAGACTGATCGGTTACACGATAAATCGTTCAAAAGTTTTGGAGAACAGAGGAGTATCACGTCAAACCAAACAGTAACCGCATCACACGTATGCGTATCCATCCGCCGCCTCGCCCCTCTCAGCGTAGAGTCCAATTCGAATTCAACGGGACAAGTTCAATCCGAACTTCAGCCTCGAGTCCACAAATCAGTCAGTAGAGCTATGCGATTTCCCGCTTGATCTCGAAGAAAGTCTGCAACCGCGTTTTATAGCTGCATTTCCTTTCCAAATGTAGAGGGTAAGTAAATCCTGATGATCATAAAGTGGGTCCAGTTGGACAAAACCAGACTGGATGTATATCTAAGCACAAAATCTAAGCACAGAGACCCATGTAAAGCACTATTTAACCACATGCGACGAGGAAGGACACCATATTACACTATGGAGATGTAACTCTTGTTGCAGCCCTGTTGCATCAGACCTGCTGGAATGTTGCCCGAGTTGAAACTTTGTTGCCACATTTGTCCTGATCCGTTTATGCTTTGGACATGTATAATGAGGTTTCATCTTTAAGACCATTGTTTGCAAAGGAGAAAAAAAAGTCAAGACTTTTGCTGTAAAAACACTCATTAGCTTGTTTTGATTTGCACCACACTTCCATTTCTGCATAACAGAGACCGGGGCTAGTTGTCACTCTGAGAAGTTGTCACAAAGGCTGTATTTCAGTAACAACAGGATTTTGATTCACAAGTCCAATTACAAGAATGTATGTGTTGCTCTAGCTTTGGTTTTGTATGTTGGTTTTAAACTAGGGATGGGCATTCGATTAAATTTTCTTAGTCGATCGTCGGGAGAATTAACGATCGACTATCGATTAATCATTAATATTTTTTATATATTAAAATTAATTATTTATTTAACTTTTTATAAATTAAAAATGCAATGAAAATACAAAAATACAGCGTGTTTTTCCTCGATGAGATCTTTATTACAAGATAATCAACTTGCGGCAGTTAAACTGGACATTCGGCTAAACTTGAAATATGCGCTGCGGTGCTCTAAAAAGCAACAAAACCTGCAGCTGCGAGTTGGCGTCCTCAAACAGAGACCCGATCGTTTGTTCCAAAATAATAAAAAAAAAAATCATGTTAAACAATAACTTAACCAAAAACATAATAATACTCAATGTAACTCAAAACTATCCAAGGTACGAAGTCGAGAAAGAGTGTGAGAGAGATTAGCCTACCTAGCAACAAATTAGGCTACTTAACAAAGCCTCAAAAAAAATATCTATTAACTCACATAAAACTTCTGCACCAGTCTACTGATTTTTGTTGAGAAAGATAAGCATGTTGATGACATGGACTGGGCCTGGGGTCAGACGCGACCGCAACATGGTGACCGTCAAGCCTCGTTTATACTTTTGCCTGGCTCTGCAGCGCGATTCTCCGCAAACGGACGAGGCGTTTATACTCCACGCGCTCGCCTGTAAAACGCCGAATACCGCAATGACGTCATTTTTGCCTCGCGCACCTTTGCTCGTGCTTGTGCGGACGCGTCGAGGTCGAGTGTAAACAAACTCTTCAGTCCAGCCGCCGAAAACACCCGCTCTGAGGGGACTGACGTTGCCGGGATATACCTCTGCGCTAACTTGACCAGCCCGGGAAACAACTTATTCCGTTCACTTTCCACCCGTCTGCAGTGGTGCAATCCAGCGGTTCATTGCTTCAAGGCTCACATTACGCAACGCAACCATATTACATTTACATTTACATTTACATTTAGTCATTTAGCAGACGCTTTTATCCAAAGCGACTTACAACTGAGGACTAAACCAAGCGAGTCATCGTGAAGAGGCAAAAGCAACGCAAGAAGTGCTCAAAATACAAAGTTCAGACATAGCTCGGAGTAGCATAAGCCAGGCAAGCGAGGATTTAGAGGAAAGGATTTTTTTTTATAGTTTTTTTTTTTTTTTTTTAGTTTTAGTTTTATTGATAACAAATTAACATGATCGACGAAATTCTTAATGATCAATTATCGATCGTCGATTAATAATGCCCATCCCTATTTTAAACATCAAATCAGTCTTAAGATTGTGTTTGTGTGTGGATGAATTCTGCCCTCCAAACTAAAATTATATTATTTTATTTATTCTGTAGGAGTTGGATATACATTCAGATAGGTTTCAACTATAGAATGAAGTCTTAGGGCAAAGGTGTCTGGTTGAGGCAAGTTGTCACCTTTATTTTAAATCGATAGGCGAAGTATGTTGGGGTCAGTAAGATTTTAGGCTACATTTTTAAGAAATAAATTAATGTTTATTGAGCAAGGATGCATTAAATTGAACATTTGTACACTGATTTAAAAAAAAAAAAAAATTATTTCAAATAAATGCTGTTCGTTGATCGTTATTAAAGAATCCTGAAATGATCATGGTTTCCACAAAAATATTAAGAACAAAATTGAGAAGAATTGTTACAGCAGCAAATCAGCATATTATAATGATTGAAGGATCATGTGACACTGAAGACTGGAGTAATAATGCTGAAAATTCAGCTTTGTCATCATAGGAATAAATTACATTTTAAAATGTATTCAAAATAGAAAACAGGTATTCTGAGGTGTAATAATATTTCACAATATGATTTTTTTTTTTTTTACTATATTTTTGATCAAATATAGGCAGAGTTGAAGAGCATTAGAGACATCTTGCAAAATTATCTCAAAATCTTACTAACCTCAAACTTGGTAGTGTATATATTTGTTTCCTTTAAATATGTCTTTCATGCATTTTGCCTTTCATAATTGTTTTACTGCACATTTTATTGAAAAGCTTCTTATAGGTTGTTTAATTGCAGGTTTTACTGTGACAACTTACATCATATAGCGCTACTTCATGTGTATAATAAACTTTTTTTTCTTGGCCATTACCGGTGGAAAGGTTTTTTGCGACTGTGAGGTTTGTGTCTATATAGAAATAAACTCAGCTTAAGAAATATTCACTGTAAAAAGTATCTAGCCCCATTCTCCTTAATTCATTTCCACTGTCACAGTTTCCAATAAAGTGCAGAAAATAGAAAAAAAAATGATAGTTATGGTATTCTGATGCATTAATATCTGAATTAAATTGAGTTAAACTAATCTTTAAGTGGTGACAAATTTGTAAATTTCTAAAGCATGAATTTTTAGATCACATATCTGACATTTCAGTTTTACTCCATTACCTTAAAACTCAGATACGACTTCATGCTTGGATTCATTGCACACTTCTCGCTGTGTGAAACTAATATAACTGACTGAACCTCCTCTTGTCCTGTTGCCAAGTCAAAATGAATACTGCTCTCTCTGTCTGCTTTTCTCACCCTTTTCAAGGTTTTTTGATCATCTTCAATTTTACAATATTTTTTATTGCAATGGATGATCAATCTGTATATGCACACAAGACTTTCAAAATGAATATTTCCTGAGTGCATCATGCCTCTGGATAAAGTTTATTAGTATGTCCTAAATGCTCATGTAGAATATGTATTGTATATTGTAAAATATGCATTATATAATCATGTGTTTTCTAAAAAAGAACAAGGTCATTCTCCGATGCCCACATCTATCAATGACACTCCACTGCAGACTGTAGTGCCTTTCACATTTGTCAGAGGAACATCTGTTTGTTTTATTTTTTTAGCAACTTTTCCCATTTCTTATTTTATTTCATTCTTTGTGATTTGTCATCATAACAACATTTGCAGTAAGAATAGCTGTTTTGTGATATCCATCCTTGCTTCGCTGCCATGAAGACTCTGGTACATTGATAAAGGTTACACCATAATTTCATCACCAGCTTGCAAAGAATCCTGCCCCCATTAATGTTTTATGTTCTATCTGGGGTAACATTAGAAATGCACACATGGGTTGTAAGAAATTCTGTTGCTAAGGTGCCAGTTATACTCTTATATCTGTAATTAGTGGGAAATTATGATAATTTTTCTCTTTTTAAAATAGCGTTTAAATAAGAGAATATATCAAGGCTGAGTAATCAGTCTGTGAGATTTTGAGACCTGAAAGCGCTGTGTAAGTGTGGTCTGTTTTCCATAGGATTTACTGTATTTTGAAGGGTTTGATTTAGAAAATATGGGTTTAAAATTATAATATTTTGCTTATCGCTGCAGTGATAACAGACACTCACACACAAATCAGAGATTAATTATTTTATTTCATCAGATCGGACAACTGCCATCACACTATTTTATTTAGTATGGACAGACACAGAAGTTTGCCTTTGTACAGACAAAATCTATATATACCAAGCCAAATGAGTGGCCGAAAAAATGTCGCCAGATTGTTCATTTTTTATTTTTGCCTTTTAGCTTTATATATAAAGGTAAAATCCTTTTTTTAAAAATATTGACCTCTGAATAACACTTGATGCACTTTCATAGTTGCCACTGGAAGGAGCCATTTACAGACATTTTTACCCCTCCTTTTGAATTTCAAAAGTGCACATAGTACTCTAAAATGTTTATTGTACATAATCTTAATCAATTATGGTGTGTTCTTTAATTGCTGTAAAACAAGGAAATTCTAGTAAATCATGTTCTCAAAAACTCGGCAGAGGAGGCATTTTTTTCCCCTATACTCATATTCATACAATCATTTACTGTAGGCTACTTATTATTTTATCTGAATTAGAGATATATCAACAGTAACCTAATGCAGCTCATACGTTAAGTTCAAATGGTAAAAGTTACCCTGTTCCGTCTGATTTCTGTACTCAAATAATTTTTTATGTTTTATTTACTCTTTATTTACAATGTGATTATACAAATATATACTGAGTAATATTAATTAACCACATAATTAGGTTAGGGTTTGGTTTAGGGTTATTTGCCTGTAATTATGCATAATATGCTGTTATTAGTAAGTACATGTAAGTTGTGTAATGGACACTAATGAAGAGTTATATTTTTTATAATAAAAAGTGCAATACTATAATTTTTTACTTTTGAAAATGTAAAAGACTCCTTTTTGCATTTGATGTGTAAAATGCAAAACAAACATGCAGCAAAGGGACAGGGATTGCCACTGTTCTTTGACAGTGTTCAGGCATGTAACCTGCAAAACAAAGGTGAGGTAGGAGTGTGTTTGACATCTCTTTGTTGTCACTTTTCAACAGATGACAGCTGACAGGTGCGAGGTCTATATGAAGCACTCTGGTTCTCTGAGCTGTACTTGTTTTCCATTATTTGCTGAATCCTTAAGAATCTATTCAGAATGACTTTCCACACCCATTCAGTATTAAGCTGTTAAGCTTACTTAATAAATGAGCTTTCCTTAAAAAAACAGAAGACAAAACAATGTTGTTTGAAATGGATATTGAAATTGAAGTTTATAAAAAAATATGTTATTTGCATTTTAAATGTACACATTCACGTTTGACTTTCACAACTGCAGAGAGTGCTCTAGTCAAA